GATTTTAGGCAGGGTATCCAGGCTTCACTATTTTTTCAAAGGGGTCTGAGATGCTGAAAAGTTAAGGATCATTGCCTTACATGTTTACCACATAAGCTGCAAATACAGAGTTGAGTTTTTTTTAAGGAAAGCCTACTTATTTCATCTATTTAACTAACACTATAATCTGGAAGAAGGAGGTGCTGAAGTTACAACCATGAAGTAAACTGTTATCCCCTCTAAACAAAAATACTGGGAGTGTAAAAAGCAAAGCAGCCTTTCCATAGCAGATCTTCAGAGAGAAAACACCTAATTCCCCTTTTCAAGAACTTCATCTTATGCTCATTTTGTTCTGGATGGGCATAACAGGAACATAAAGAATGTGGACACAATACTGGGATAAGAAACAGAAATAATAATGCCCTGGGCTGTACTGAAATCATCACAGATAAAAATATACTAATTCTTTGGTGTGGGGAAGGATAGCATTAAGGCAGCCAATTCTGAAGCAGCTGGGAAGAACAGGTAACCCAGAAAAGTTTCTGGATGCCTGGAATACCACAGAGGAGGGATGATGGCTTCAGAGTGTGGGTATTAATGGTTTTGGACTGGCAAGTTCCCAGAGGACAAGAAACGGCTTCCTCAGGGTAAGTAGTTCTTTACACCCCAAACTCTGGATTAAGTTCCATTAACACAAAAATGAAAGATTATTTTTTCTCCTCCAAATAATAAAATGAACATTGTCTTAAAAGGAAAGAAGATATACCAGGTATTAGGTACTTTGGACATCACAAGAATGCTAATATGCTCAGATGCTATTTAAGGAGGCCATGCCAGGAAAACATATGGCAGCCAACAAGAAGGTGCTGAAGGCAAGCTGTGAATCCAAGCAGCAACTGTTCATCCACCATCTTTATTCTCTGTGGAAGCAGGGAACCTCCTGAACTTTGGGTCAGTGGGATGAAATCAAAAGCACAATGCCCTAATCCCGAGAGACACAATCTCTTATCCTCTAAACTGAGGTTTCCTGTACTTTGGTACAAGGCTGGTTAAAACACTAAGAAAAACAAACCCCCAACCTAGCAAAGATGTTCATACATACCCAGGCTGTGGGACAAACTGCAGAGGTGGCCACCGGTCACACCAGGCAGTCCAGCAGCGGAGAATGCCCTGCTGAGACACACAGAGAAGGTCTTTAATACTCTTCAATCTTTTCTTTCAGTTTCTTTTTTAGAATAGGTACTTTTCGATCCTGTTTGGTCACCCCACCCCTTGAGCTATGTACACTTAGGAGTTTCTTATAAACCACCCATTTTCTCAGAAACACTTTAGCCTCTTGACCAACCTCCTTGATGAGCCTGTCCAATGAGGGGCGGGCTGGCTGCTGGTGTGTGTGATGGCGGGGCGGGGAACTGAGACAGATGAAACCCTTAAGAGAACCGAGAGTCCTATATACCTTTACTCATTGCATCAGCCACCCCCCGCCGGGGCTGGCAGCCACATCACTTCCCCACCCTCTTCCTGTTCCCCACCCTAGGCATCTGTAAATTCCCTGAGGCTATTATGCACCGAGGCGGTGCAGTGGGAAGTCGTTGAGTGCGGAGGTCGGGAGAGTGCCGGGTTTCACTCCCTGTTCGGGCATCTCCTGGCTGTGAAACCTGGGGCAAGTCACGTTACTTCCCTGCTCCTCCCTCAGTGTCCACGTCTGTGAAATGGGCACAAAGGAACCTCCAGACCCTACCGTGCAGGTGACCAAGGCGACACGACAGGCACTAAAGGACGAGGGACCTTCTGGGACAGGGAGGGAGGGAGACCATGAGGGTCGGCTGCGCCCAGGGGTATAGGGTGGGGTGATCGCGGCCGCCCCCGCGCCCTTTGAAGCGCAGGCCGGGCTTCGAGGAAGGTGACCCGGCGCGCAGGCTGCCTCAGAGGGCAGGTCCCCGGGTGCCCCCCGCGTCCTACGGCTCCAACACCCCGATCTCCCCGCCTTTACTCACCCGGCCCAGCCGGGCCCGTCAACGCAACCGGCTCAACCACGGGTGCTTTCCTGCGCGTCCGTGGAAACGCAGTCCGGCCGGAATAACTTCCGGACCCGGTGCACCGTCATTGGCTGCTCCTTCGGGGGGCGTGGCGGATCCCGCCTCCGATTGGCTGGCGGCCCCGGCGTCGCGGCGGAACGCGGCTGGGCGGCGCGGTGCAGGCCGGACTGCCTCGGGGAATATCCAGCGCTTCCGGTGCGTGTGGTGAGCGGCGGGCCCGGGGAGGGAGGTTTCTGGTACCGGGCGGCGCTCGGAGCGCTCCCCATCCCACTGCGCGGGTCTTTCATAGTCTTTCGCCTTCCTCTCATTTCCTGTTCCTTCCGAAAGGGCTGTGCTCGGTACTCCCGTTAACCCTTAGGAGTCACAGCGCGGCTAACTCCTATTCATCCTTCAAAACCCGTCTTTGGTGGTGTGTTGTTCGTGGTTTGGTCGGTCTGTGGCTGCGGGACGGGACCCGTGTTTTCTGTTTAACATATGCCCACACCAGACCCAAAGCAGGGCTTGACAGAGTAGGTCGTCAGGAAATGTCTGTTGAATTGAAAACATCCTATTTCGTTTGCTCCCTTTTGCCCTCTCTCATCAGGTTGCCTTCCGCAGATATTTCTAATCTCTTGAAACAGTGGATAGAACCCACAGAAGGTCCTGTCCGCACGAGAAAGGGCCTCTTTTCTCCTGGGCTGGCGCCTTTTGTTCCATCTGGTTGTCTTCCTCTTGATTGAATCATTCATCATTTTTCTTCCCCTTTTCTTTCATCTTAGAAACAAAAGGCAGCAGACACTTCCTGAGTGGACTGTTGTTCCCACCCTCCGTTTTGGTCTGTTCTCCTTGAATTGTCCCTGACTCTCACCCCTGGAGTTGGTTGATTCTGTTGCTTCAGCTGGCTCATCACCTCTGCTCTCCTGCCTCCTTGAGGACGATACCCAGATGGCTTCTAAGGCCTTCTTCAGCCTCCCTAAGAAACTGCAGTACCCCCAGTTCCTTTTTGTAATTTTCTCCTTTTAATGTCTCAATAACTGCTTCCTGTGGCTAACTCGACTTGGGGTGTCTTTCCCCCACTGGCTTGTGAGTGTGGTGAGCACCGAATATCCTTTACTGTTTTGCTTAGTGCTGGTTTCCAAGCACCCAGTGTTTGTTGAGTGGTGAGTGGAATGTGGAGGGAGCAGAGAGTCTCAGGAGCCCTGCTGTCTATGGGTATTCATCCCAGCCTTTCTGCCTTGCCTTATTTGGGAGTGAAGCTGATGGGCCTCCCTGCTCCCTGATCTTCCTCCTTAGGCCTGTCCTGTGAGCTGACCACTGTGGGTGGGGCAGGTGGGAAATCATCCTTCAGGCTGAGCACAAGCTCCCTGGTAGTGGGAGCGTGGTGGATTCTCTTTGGCCTTAAGGACCTGTGATGGGTGGCTCTTGGGTGCAGTGGAGGAGGCTGGCCTTGGGACCTGGTCAGATGTTTTACAGATCACATCACTTGTAGAGCATGGTTCCTTGAGTTTAGAAATAGTCTTTCATATTATGTTCAATTCAGTTTGAGAAGGGCTGGCCAGTTTAGAAGCTCTGGGTGTGGATGTTGTTACTTGCCTGAGGCTGTGGGTGGGGAAGGCTGGCTTGAGACATGAATATGACCTTACCTGGCAGTGGAGCCTTCTGGCTAATGGGGCCATTTGGGGGAAAGGTGTCCAGGGGGAGAGGTGGGTGACAGGCTGTCTGGAATGAGGTAGCAAAGGCCTTGGAGGGAGCCTCTTGCTGGCCTTACTCCACATGTGGAGAGCCACAGGATTCCCCTCAACCCCACTGTGCTGAGGATTGACCCAGGACCTTGTATATGCTAGTCAAGTGCTATACCACTAAGCCACATCTACAGCCCTGTCGCAGGTTGGTTGGTTTTTAAATTTTTTTTTTTTTGGCAGGGGAACCAGGGATTGAACCGGGGTATTTAACCACCCCTAGTCCTTTTTAATGTTTTATTTTGATAAAGAGTCTTGCTAAGTCACTTAGGGCCTTGCTAAGTTGTTGAGGCTGGTTTTGAACTTTTAGTCCTCCAGCCGCAGCCTCCCAGTCTCCTGCGTATGGTGAGCGGCGCAGGGATTACAGGTGTGGGCTCTGGTGCCAGGAATTACAGGTGTGGGCTCTGGTGCCAGGCTCCACAGGGTGTACTGAAGTATAGTCCTTATCTGTCTTGAATTTTGAAAATGGTTACCTGGGCTCTCAGAGCTGCTAGATCATGCCCTCTGCTGGCCGAGTTGTGACTATTATTCTTGTTTTCTTCCTGCTTTTGCTTCTTGCCAGTAACAGAGTTAATATAATGGACTCCAAACCAAAGCACTTCTTTCTGGGAACTAGTTGGTAATAATTTATTATGTATGATGGTTCAGAATTTCAGGAACAATTACTTATTTATTTGATTGATGGATTGATTTTTTTTTTTTTCTATACTGGGGATTGAACCTAGTGGCACTTTACTACTGAGCTATATTTCCAGTCCTGTTTATTTTTTTTATTTTGAGACAGGGCCCCACTCTGTTTCCCAGGTTGGCCTCAAACTTGTGATCCTCCTGCCTCAGCCTCCTTGTAGCATGAGCCACCAACTTGGCAGGAAGGAATTTTTTTTTTTGGATGGTGCTGGGATTGAACCCAGGGCTTTGTGAATGCTAGGCAAGCACTCTTCCAACTGAGCTATATCCCCAGCCCCAGGAAGAATTAAAATTTTTTTAAAAAAAATGTTGATGAACCTTTATTTTATTCATTTATTTATATGCGGTGCAGAGAATTGAACCCAGTGCCTCACACGTGGTAGGGAAGTGTTCTACCACTGAACCACACAGCCCAGCCCGGAATTGTTTTTTAAATATATATTTTTAAAAATTGTAGATGGACCCAATGCCTTATGTCATTTATTTTTATGTGGTGCTGAAGATTGAACCCAGTGCCTCTCATATGCTAGGCAAGTGCTTCACCACTGAGCTACAGCCGCAACCCAATAATTTTTTTTTTTTTTTTTAAAGAGGAACTCCTCTGCTGTGTGACTCTGTGCATTTGGCATGAAATGGGTAGATTTGGGTTATTCCTTCAGAACTTCTCCCACCACTATTGGGTAGACTGACTCCTTAGGACCTTAGCCTTGTGTTGTGGAGTTATGACTGGCTTCTCGCTGGGCAGAGGAAAAACAGGGAAGAGCTTCTGCCTGTGGGGGAGGACGAGGATGGTGGTGTGGCTTTCCACCTGGGGATTCTGGGCCTCCTTCCACTTCAGTGTTTCAGACCTTGCCTCATTCCTGTTGGTGAGTATTTTTCTCATTTGTTGCTAATGAACAGTGCTGAGACGTTTTCAGAAGTGTGCCACCATGGATGTGAACATTTAGAAAATGTAGGCTGGTGTTTGGGCTAGAGTTCTAAAGTGGGCTGGGTCATTGAGGTGGAAACCATGTGTTATATTCATGCCGTCCACACTGACCCCACAGTCATCCTCTCAAGTCTCTCAGACATGTGTTTCCATTGGTCAGGCCCTTTTTTTTTTTTAATATTTACTTTTTAGTTATAAGTGGACACAATGTCTTTATTTTGCTTTATATGATGCTGAGGATCAACCCAGTGCCTCAGGCATGCTAGGCAAGTGCTCTGCCTCTGAGCCACAACCTGAGCCTTGGTCAGGCCTTTTATGTAAAAGTTTTCATTTTCTTCATGTAGGCCTCGCGTTCTTTTGGTGGGTTTATTTCCAGAGATTCCAATTCTTATTTACTTATTTATTTATTGGTACCAGGGATTGAACCCAGGGATTCTTAACCACTGAGCCCCATTACCACCCCACCTTTTTTTTAAATATTTATTTTTTAGATGTAGATGGACATAACACAATGCCTTTATTTTTACGTGGTGCTAAGGATCGAACCCAGGTCCCTCCCGTGCTAGGCGAGTGCTCTACCACTGAGCCACAATCCCAGCCCCAAACCACCCCTTTTTATTTAGAGACAGGGTCTCACTGAGTTGCTTAGGGCCTCGCTAAGTTGCTGAGGCTGGCTTTGAACATGCAGTCCTCCTGCCTCAACCTCCCAAGTTGCTGGGACAACAGATGTGTGCCAATATGCCCAGCCATAGTCTTCATTTTAAAATGCTATTTTTGGGGGGGGGGGGGCTGGGGTTGTGGCTCAGTGGTAGAATACTCACCTAGCATGCACGAGGCACTGGGTTCGATCCTCAGCACCACATAAATGTAAAATAAAGATACTGTGTCCACCTAAAACTTAGGAATAAATATTAAAAAAAAAAATGTGGGGCTGGAGATGTAGCTCAAGTGGTAGTGTGCTTGCCTGGCATGCGCGCGGTGCTGGGTTCGATCCTCAGCACCACATACAAATAAAGATGTTATGTCCGCCGAAGACTAAAAAATAAATATTAAAAATTTCTCCCTCTCTCCCTCTCTCTCTTTAAAAAAAATAAATAAAATATCATTTAGAAAATACCTTTATTTGTTTTTATGTGGTGCTGAGGATCGAACCCGATGCCTCACATTGCAAGGCAGGCGCTCTACCACTGAGCTCAGCCCCAGCCCTAAAATGCCATTTAAAAAAAAAAAATTTTAAATTGTTGATGGACACAATATCTTTATTTATTTTTATGTGCTGAGGATTGAACTCAAAGCCTCACAGTGTAAGGCAAGTGCTCTACCACTCAGCCACAACCCCTGCCTCTAAATGCCATCTTTGTACCTGTGTGTAGGAAAGCCTTATTCTGTTTGTTGTCCAATTCTTTGTGCATCATGTGGGGTTTAATCAGGGAAACACACGTCTCCTGAAACACGTGTCCTTATGTTGCAAACGTTCAGAACCCTTTCTTTTAGTTTTTCAAAAAGCCCTTAGTAATTACATGGATCTATCTTTCTTTCTTTCTTCCTTTCTTTCTTTTTGTTGGTACTGGGATTTGAGCCATATCCCCAGCCTTTTTTGTTTTTTATTTGAGACAGGGCCTCAGTAAGTTGCTGAGTCTGGTCCTGCCTCAGCCTCCTCATCTGCTGGGATCACAGGTATGCACCACATGCCCAGCCCCTTTTCTGATTCTTGACTTGGTCTGGTTTTAGGTATTGTGCCGTGGCAGGACAAGAAACCAAATCTTCGATGGCTTCGCTGGTGGCATATGATGACTCTGATTCAGAGGCTGAAGCTGAACCTGCTGGAAGTGTGAATGCTCCTGGGCAGATGAAGGATGCTTCTGGTGTGGCCACATCTCCCAGGCAAGACTTTACATCGGGTATAATGGATGTGACAAACGAAGGGGCACAGGGTACAGAGCATGGTCCTCATGAAGATCCTGGGGAGCATCGTCTCCCCCTGGTTCGGCTCTGGAGAAGGGATCCAGGATCTTGCCCCAGCCAGAGGCTACAATGGCCTGTGAAGGAGCCGGAAGTCACCTTCCCCACCAGTGAGCCTTCTCGCCCCTCTTCTCTGTGGACGTGTTGTGCTCCTGCTGGCCACATGCCCCTGGCAGCTGCCCGCCTGAAGCAAGTCAGACTCTCCTGGGAGTCCCCTGAGCCATCCTTCTGTTCTCCAAACAGATCTGAAGCCACAGGCATTTCTTTTCAGAGGAAAAGGTGTGAGGACTGTGTCATACCATACACCCCAAAGAGACTGAGACAGCTGCAGGCATTCAGCACAGAAACAGGCCAGAAGAAAGATGTGGAGCTGCAGAGCCCCTCTTCAGGTTGTGCTCCCGCCCCTCTCTGTGTGACCCCCAGAGTGTCCGAGTTGATTCAGCCATATTTGAACAGTCAGTGCAGAGAAACCAGGGTGCCCAGGACCGTGCTTTTCCACCTGCGTGGCCATAGGGGCCCCGTCAACAGCATTCAGTGGTGTCCTGTCCCCTCCAGGAGCCACATGCTCCTCTCCACATCTATGGACAAAACCTTCAAGGTAAGGCTGGAGTGAGCTCCTCTCAGACACTCTTGGGGACAGACTGCTGGGTTACTTGTGGGCTGGGGTGTGGCTTAATGGTCTTAGTGCTTGCCTGGTATGCACCAAGGCCTTGGGGCAAAAAACCAGCATGGCAAAAAACCCAAAAGAAACAAAAAATTCCCCCAGGGTGTTTTATTTGTTAGCCTTGTGGTGGGCACAGGCTCCATATTCCTTGTTGGAGATTTCTGTCATTTTCTTTGGTGCCTCCTGCCCTCTGCCCTTTTCCTCATGCTCCCTTGCCCAGGCCACCAGAGCATTCAACAGATTATGGTAGAGCCAGAAGATACACTCTTGTTTTTTTTCCATAATGATGCTATATTATCTGACCATTGGATTATGTTATGATTTGTTGAACCCCTTCCCTATCGTTAGACAGTGAGGAAGTTTCTAGTATTGAGTTAGGCTGCAGTAACGTGCTGCTGTACGAGTTTTGTTCACCCTCCTGGCCTGGTGCTTCCTTCTGATGGCTCCTGGGAGGAGTGTAGGGCTCCTGGCCTTTCCAAAGAGTGGCCTGTGTGCACGAACCCGCTCACCCATGCTCATCAGCACCCACTGTTAATGTTTTAATGATATATGATGATGCTTCTTTGTGCATTACCTTGAATACTAGTGAGGATAATCAGCACTCAGGTTTTTTTTTTTTTTTTAATGTATTTTTTAGTTGTTGGACATAGTACCTTTATTTTATTTTAATGTGCTGCTGAGGATCGAACCCAGTTCCTCACACATGCTAGGTGAGTACTCTACCACTGAGCCCTAGCCCCAGCCCCAGCACTCAGGTTTTTATAATCTAGCTTTGGGGGCAAAAAAAAGAACAAACAAGTAGGGCAAATGTTCTGTTGACGCTGGGCGTGGTGGTGCAGGCCGGTGATCCCAGCTACTGGGGAAGCTGAGAAAGGCGGAGCACAAGTTCTAGGCCAGCCTAGGCAACTTGTTAAGACCTGGTCTCAAGATGAAATGAAAAGGGGGCTGGGGTACCCCTCCGTGGTAGGGCGCTTGCCTAGCACATGCCAGGCCCTGTGTTCCATCCCTAGCACCACATGCACATGTGTACACGCAAGAAAGAAAAGTTCTATTGAATGAAACATCAGTGGAATTAAACATTTGTTTTCAAGAAATGCAGTGTCCCTGTGTTTAATTGAAGTTTGTGATGCTAACTTATGGCTAGCAAAATAAAAAAAGCAGAGGCTTGAAGAGCTCAAATTTATAGAATAGACAAAGGGAAGGCAAATACCAGTATCTGTCAAGCACCTCTTAACCAGCTGCTTTTAACTAGCTGAACTGAAACCTGGAAATCACATGACTTTCCCGTTGGAGGTTCTTGGCTTCAAATTAATTTTTGTGACGAGGAGCTGGTCTCCAGCTCACGCTGTCGTGCTGAGTCTGGTGTGTCACCTGTGAAGGCCATAATTGTGCCTTGTTGTGATCCTGTGAGAAAAATACTTTTAAAAGCACTTGGTGCAGAGCTGGTGCCCACCAGGTGTTAGTAAATGTTGCTATTTTCGTCTTCCTTTCCTCAGAGTTCTGGAGCTAGATCATCTAAGTCCTTTTATCTGCAACTTATGTTTTGAACCTGTTTTCCTATGAGTGTTTCCTTGAGATCCTCCTGCTTCAGCCTCCTGAGTAGTGGGGTGGCAGGTGTGTGCCCAGCCTAGGAGGCACTTTCTCATGTAAAGAGAGGAAGCTGCAGAGTAGTGGCGTCCTAGGGATGAGCTGAATCTGTGGGCATTGTTACTAGGCAGTTGGTCCAAGTCCTGAAGGAACTCATCTGGACTCTTCTCTGGCAGAGCCAATGGAGCCGAGCTCATGCTCTGTCATCCGCTGGAGTCTGGGACTCTTCACCGAGGTCTGAGGTGCTTCTCCTGCCAAACTGGGTCTGTGAAAGCTGCTCAGGAGGCCCTGGGTGGTCTTAACGTGCTTGGATTGATTTGGGGTCTTGGGGTCTCTCAGCTCCCTTCCCTGAGAGTCTGCTCCTATAGAGGCCAACAGGCCAGGGGAACCTATTGGGAGGGTTTCTGGGGGCCTTGGTGGGTGTGCTCTGTCCTGGAAGTGCCTGGCTGTCCCTGGAGTCCCAGGGTGCCTCCTGTCTTTGAGCTCACCTGTGTGCTGGGGCCTCTTCCCTGCTCTTCACTCTCTCTAAGGTCCCTGGATTTCTGCTGAGTGGCCAGCTGATCTGTGGCTGTGTGTGAGGCCGTGCTGCAGCTGCAGGAGAGGTTTGGCACCAGGCGGGCAAGGCCCTGTGCTGGGGGGCCTGACATTGGAGGTGTTTTCACACCAGGCTCCCCCCCCCAAACCCCGGCCTGGTGGTGGAACCCTGCTGTCTGGACTCCTTCCTGTTCTGTGCAAGTGTCAGTTGCAGACCCCTGGTCCTCTCCCTCATCTCTTGCTTCAGAGGCCACTGCACCCTCACCACAGAGGCACTCCTGCGGGGCGCAGGTGTGGGTGTAGTTAGAGTGGACAGGGCTCAGGGTCTGGTTTCATCTCCAGCAGCATTTTTTTTAAGTATTTTTTTTTTAGAGAGAATTTTTTGATATTTATTTATTTTTTTTAGTTCTCGGCAGACACAACATCTTTGTTTGTATGTGGTGCTGAGGATCGAACCCAGGCCGCACGCATGCCAGGAGAGCGCGCTACGGCTTGAGCCACCTCCCCAGCCCCAAGTATGTTTTTTTTTTTTTTTAATGCCTTTATTTTATTTGCATATGGTGCTGAGGATAGAACCTAGTGCCTTGCACGCATGAGGCAGGCGCTCTGCCACTGAGCCTCAGCCCCAGCCCCAGCCCTCCAGCATTTTGACATTGGACAGGCCTGTGGCCTCTGGGTGGGAGAGAGGTCTGATGTTGTGTGCCCACAGCACCTAGTGTGATCCCTGGCCCACAAAGCGTGGCTCCCTAGGGAGTGAGGGTCACTTCTCTAGGACTGGACATTCTGGCAGCCATCAGGAGCATAGGCCTGCCACTGAGAGTGCCTTCAGATGAGGCTCTGGCCCTGAAGAGATGTGCGTGGATTGAGTGTGACCTGGCTCACCTGCCGGGGACCAGACTCTATTTCCCGATGGGGAGAGGTAGCCACGGAGCCCAGTGAGGACTGGAGCCCAGTGAGGACCGGCCCCCACCTGGAAGCATATTGAAGTGCTATCTGGAGTGGAGCAACTTGGCCAGGGGATCGCTTTTGCCCAGGAAATTTAGGTTTTCTCAACAGAAGCATCTCCATGATAGTTTTTGGTCAGAGGGATTTTGAGTGGGAGCAGTGGTATCTGGGTGCTAGAGAGTAGAATGATGTTAGGCCTGGTGTCCCTGAGGATGCAGGAGGACTGCTCCTGCCCTGGAGGACCTGATGGCAGAAACCCTGAGCAGCCAGTCAGCAGTGACACCTTGTGACCAGAAGAGGGCGCAGTTGGTCCTACTTGGAGTGGCAAGAAGCCCTGCTGCTGGCCTTGGTTTAGCACTGCAGACTGTGCTATTGCTGTGCCCACCTGTCCAGAGGAGGGCTGTGTGCTGAAGATGACATTGCTGGCATGGGGCCTCTGGGGCTACCAGGCAGCTTCTAGGGAGCCCTACCTACTCTATTTTGTAGCCCTCAGGGTATAGCCCCAAGGGTGGCTCTGGAAGTGGCCCCAGGGGCAGAGCACATGTGCAGTCCTGGGGTTGGGTCAGTGCTGACTATGGCTGCTAGGTTTATATCTCCTGGGGTGTTTGGAAATCAAGGCTTTCATACGCTGTGGGTGCAAACCTCAGGTGGAGTCCTCTGTGCTTTAGGATACCTGGGAGTTTTCAGGGATTGGGTTATGTGGCAGATCTGTTTTGGACAAGTTGATTGAGCAACTTGGATGCCAAGACTTGAGCTTGAATCCTCTGTGCCATGTCATGGGCTGTGGTCTCTTGCAAGTCATTTCACTTCTCTGGGCCTCAGTTTGTGTGTCCATGAAGTGGCACCATATGCGTGCCCCTGTGGGTTCTGTGCACAGTAGACGCCTTGGGTGTGAACTCTGTGGGGTGGTGCTGGGCTGGTGTCTGTGTTCAGTGTGTGCTGGGGTCTTGATCTTTCCAGGAATCGTTTCCCTTCTCCAGCAGAGGCGGCTTAGGTTGCCTTAGTAGCTTGCTCGATTCTTAAGCTTCTTGAGCTTGGGAACCCTGCCAGACCCATTTTTATATTCTCTGTAGCATCTGGCACAAAATTTTGTACATGTTAAGTGATCAATAAAGATTTTAAAACATTTTCTGGGTTTGTATCGCACAGCTTGGGAAAATTGTACTTTGCGTACATAAATCCAGTTTGCCACTAGGGGGCACAGTAAGACTTCACATCTGTGCGCACCCAAGCTTCTAGAATGTGGAAGAATCCTTGATTCAAGGTAACATTTACCGAGAAATGATTTCTTTTCTCATCAGGAGAAAAACAACCCAATCCATCTGATTAATCTAAAGAACGTGCAGTGCCAGTTCTTCTCCTTCAAGTGTAGCTTTGGAATTCATAAATTTCAATTGGGCATATTACAGTGGAAAGATACTTATTTTAATATGTTCTAAATGTTCTGTGAGCTGTAAAATATGCTTATATTAGTTTTGAAAAATTTACAGCCAGAGCAATTAAGTAAAATAAAACAATGACTCATAATTCCGCACCGCTGCTCTGTTTTCTTTCCCGATGGCCCCTTCCTGCCCTCTTGAGGCGCCTGTATGGATTTTTCATGGCTGTAATCCTGGTGTGGATAGCCTTTATATACTCTTTTCATTTCCCAGTGAACTCGTTTGGCTTTACATGTTTGAACACCCACCACACGTAAAAGTAGAATTCAGACTTTGATGCCTTTTCTGAAGGCAAAGGCCAGACGTGGTGTGTTTTACTAAACAGTGAACGTTTCTTGTCTGCCCTGCACAGGGTAAGCATGCAGGGTCCCCTGCCAGGCTCTGCAGATGATTCCCAATAGCAAAGAGCACGTTTCCTCTTTCTGGGGA